AAAAAAAAAAAAAAATTAATATAAACCTCCCTGCTGCCAAGTATTATAGCATGTTTATTCTTTTGATTCTCATGTCTTAACATTTACTTCAAGTTTACTACTTACATGTGATATTTTGCTATTTCATCCAATATTTATTGAGCACTTAGCACTATTCGGGCCGGGGCTGGTGAACAAGGCATGTTCAGTAATGTTTTATATTCTGCTTCAAGTTGTTGACCATGAAAGCAAACTAGAAACAAAAAAACTTAGAATCAATAAATTCAGTGAAAAAGTGTAACTTTTTGGCACAAGAAACAGTTATTATAGAATTGTTATATTTTTACTCAGTTGAACTAAGTATTAACATAAAGCATGGAGCAGAGAAAGAAAAGAAACATAGTTTATATTTTCTTTCTTTCATTTCTTTTTGGTTTTTTTTAACTCTGAGCCTTGATGTGCTAGGCAAGCACTCTACCACTGAAATATATCCTCATCCCTTTTGAAACTTTATTTAAAAATGAGTCTCAACTAAGTTGCCCAGGATGGCCTCAAACTTCTGATCCTGCTGCCTCGGCCTCCTCACTGACAGGCTTTACAACATTCCACCATGCCTGGAACAGACTGTTTTTCTAATTAAAAAAGCCAAAGATGTCAATTTTTATTAAATAAAGAAATAAAGTGGCAGGGGCTGGGAGTGTAGCTCAATGGTACAGTGTGTGCTTAGTATGTACAGGCCCTGAGTTCAACATCCAGCATGAAAAAAATAAGGAAATAAAGCTAGATACATAATAAAAAATACTCTAGCTAGGCGTAGTAGCACACACCTATAATCCCAGCACTTGGAAGGCTGAGGCCGGAAGAATACCCTGAGTTAAAAGCTAGCTGGGGCTATGTAGTCAGTTCAAGGTTAGCCTCAACTACCACTGCATTCAGCTAAGGTTGTTTTAACAACATTACACAGGATGTAGCCAGGCACAGCAGCACATGCCTGTAATCCCAGGACTCCGGAGGCTGAGGTAGGAAGATCACCATCAATTTAAGGCCAGCCTGGACTATACAGTGAGTTTAAGTCTACCTTGAACCACATGGCAAGACCTTGTTTTTCAAAAAAAAATAAGAACCACTTATTCTTATTTTAAGTATACTAGGAGTGAAGAGGAGGAAGGGAAGGGAAGAAGATGTAAAAAGAATCAAGATGTGATATGTACAGGTACCAACTCCCCATAATGAATGTAATCATTATGTGCAGCAAGTGTATACTAATAAAATTTTTAAATATACTCGGTGAAAATATATATATATATACTCGGTGAAAAATCAACCCCAAATAATATATTTCTCTCCTGTCTCCATTCTTTTTCTCTTTTTTCCAGTACTGGGAGTGAGCTATATTATCAGTCCTTTTTTATTTTTACTTTCCTGAGATTTTAAGATCAGGTCTCACCAAGTTACCAAGGTTGGACTCAAAACTTGTGCCTCAGCCTCCCAGATGCTGGGATCACAAGGGTGTGCCACCACCACAGGCCTGCCTCAAAACACCTTCTGTTCATCATTTTATCCCCATTTCTTAGTACGCCATCTGGTATAGATTAAGTATTCCACATTTGTTGAGTAAATGAATACAATTAAGATGTTTGGAATAGAAACATAATAAACACTGTAACATAACCTTCCACTGTTTTTTTTTTTTTTTTTTTTGGCTATACTGCTATGATGCTTACATATACAACTGGTAGAATTCACCCTGAAGATATATACATATATAGAATATTTCTATAGTGATACCCAAGAAACTGTAACAGTCACTGACTTCAGTAAAAGAACTAAGGGCTTGGGGTTGGAATAGATTTATTTTTCATCAAAGAGCCTTGTGTACTTTCTAAGATTTAAGCAATTCAGATTGTTTTTAAAACTACCACCAAAACAAAACCACACCTACTTTTTAAAATCCAATTTAAAAAAAAAAATCTAAGGACTAAGACTTTTCTGAGACTCCAAAAGTCAAAAGGAATGACTTCCATGTATTTTGAACTTTTAGAACTGTTAGTTACAGATACCATACTACACAGATCTAGTCAACTGATACTCAAAAAATATAACCTTACTAGATACTACTTGAAAGAGATACAAAGAAAGTACAAATAGCATCCATATAGCAATTTATAGTTACAAAGCATGATGGAAAAAGCACAGACCTTGGATTCAGACAAAAATACTTCATAGGTCTACTATTCTGAGTAAATGTTAATCTCCCCTAACTTCAAATTTCTCTTTTATAAAAAGGAAACAGTTGTTGTAGATTCAGCTTTTTAAAAAATAGCAATTTCTTGTGCAGAGCTTTGTCATTTTAAAGATAATCATTTATATTTTGTATAGGTAATTCTTGTAGTTTCTGAATTCTAAAGATAGAAAGGGTTTACAGCCAGTTTCAAACAGAAATGTGCAATTTAATGAAGCTAGACTCACCACCTGAACCCACTAATCCTTCTCAGTACTGTATCTCTAACAGTGGGCATACTACAGTACAGAGGATGGCCATTATCCCCAGGGTTTAATCTGAATCCAATCAAATGTTTCACTTTCACTTCCAGTTTGTAATAGCAATCTAAATGATTTCACCAGGCTCAGTCGGTAACTAGAAAACCTACCAGGTCTCTTCAAATGAGTCATGAGAGAAAAGAAAAATGAGGGAAAACAGGTAAGTGTTCTAGATTAAAAGAAACTTCTGGGAGGCTAAAGCAGAAGAATTAACTCAAGTTCGAGGCCAGCCTACACTATATGGAATTCAAGGCTAGCCTGAGCTACATAGTGAGACAGTCTCCAAAAAGAAAAAAAATTTTTTAACTAGATGAAAAGCAACTTCAAAACACATTAATAAATGCAAATTGGGTTTGGCGGCTTACACCTGTCCCAGCAACTCAGGAGTCTGATGTGGAAGGATCTCAAGCTTGAGCCTAGTTTGGCAATTCAGCGAGACCCTGTCTCAAAACAGTTAAAGTCCTGGGGATATAAATCAGTGCAAAGGCTCCGGGTTCAATACCCAGAATTGGAAAAAAAAGGGAAAAAAGCAACATGTAGCCTTCTATCAGAAACAGAATAAAAAATCTTTAGTTAGCACTGTGGCTCTCCCTATAGTCCTCGCTACTCAGGAGATTAAGACCGGAAGACCCTAAGTGGGACACTTATTGAGACACTGTCTCGTAAGAAAATTTTACAAAAGGGCTGGCTGGGGACACAGCTTGGAGGTAGAGAGCCCCTAGGCTCAATTCCCAGTACCAAAAAGAGAAAAAAAAAAGAGGAAGTGGGACAGTTTGGAAAAATTTTAACAAGGAACTGGATAATACAGTACAGAGGAATTACTATGGTGCACTGTTGTGGGGACTACTTATCCCTGTATCTCCAGGGTGAACTGGTCCTGAGAACGAGGTGCCTTTTATTGAGCAAGAAACTAGGGCATAGCTAGATTTAACCAGTCCTCTAATGGGTGGATACAAAACGTTTTAGCAAGGGTAATCAAAGGATTATCCTTTTCCATTTGTAATCCGAGACACACCTGTAATCCCAGCACTCAAGAGGCTGAGACAGGAGACTCGTAAACTCAAGGTTAAACAAATCATTGTGTCCTCAATGCATTCTAATCAAAGAATGTCCTTCTCCACACACTGTGATTATGCAGGAAGATATTTAAAAGCTCAAGAATAAAAGCAATACATATTACAGAAAAATACTCAGATTTTAAAAATCTGAGTAATAGATTTGCAGGCATTCAATGTACTACTTTATCTACTTTTCTGGTTCTTTTACATGTTTTACAATAAAAAGTAAAATAAAAAGCCTTATGGGGAAAAGTATCCATCCCCTTATTTCCCAACCACCACCATCTCCAGCCATTTATATATTCTTCCAAAGATATTATTTTTAAAAAATATTTTATTGTATTATAAAAATAGCCTAGTGGTATTAAATGCATTCACAATGCTGTGCTACCATCAGTATGTACCTCCATAACTATTTTTATCTTGTGAAATTAAAACTGGAGCCATTAAACAATAAATCCAATTAATCCTATTTCCCCCTCTCCAGCCTCTGCAACCAGCATTCTTTTATTTCTGATTTTGATTACCTTTCAGATACTTTGTGCCCTCATATGCCATATATCACATATATACCATATTTATTTTTTATATATATATTCAATATTAGCACATACAGATCTGCCTCACTTTAAAAACTGCATAAATGTGTGATATATTTAACCAGTCCTCTACTGATGAACACCTGGGAATTCATACCTGATAGTCTTTCAAATTAAAAAAAAAACAACTGAAATTGCCTTTAAGCTTTCAATTAGTGAGTCTGCATGCTTAATAATATGCAATTAAAGTACTCACATGTAACTTGTCTGTACAGGTGCTCTTATTCACTGGGTACTCAAATTAATCCTAGACTTCCCAACTAAATCACTTCAATTACAAAACACAATAGGAATAATTCTCACTGAGCTACCAGCCATGATGGCACATGCCTGTAATCCCAGCACTAGGGAAGCTGAGACAGGAGGATTGCTGTGAGATCAAATTCCTGCACATCCTTGCAAGCCATTATGAAAAATTCTCTTTAAAAACCATCCATATGCTGGGTGTGGTGGCACACACCTATAATCCCAGCATTTGGGAGGCTAAGGCAGGAGGATTGTTTCAAGTTCAAGACCAACCTGGGCTACAAAGTGAGCTCACAGCTGGCCTGAACTGCATAGTGAGACCCCATCTCAAAAAGACAAAAAATAAAAACCATCCACAGTCCAGGCAAGGTAGCACATGCCTGTAACCTCAGTACTAGGGAGGTGGAGGCAGGAAGATCTCTGTGAGTTCCAGGCCAGGCTCCACTACATAGTCAGTTCAAGGCCAGTCTGAACTACAAAGCCAGATCCTGTCTCAAAAAAAATAAAACAAGACAAACAAACAAACAACAACAACAATCCATTGCTAAATGGTAGACCACTTGCCTCACCTGTACAAGACCCTGAGATTGGGCCAGGAATATAGCTCAGTGGTGTCATGCCTGCCTGGCAAGCATGAGGTCCTGAGTTTGACTCCTGGTACCAAAAAAAAAATTTTTTTTAAAAGACCCTGGGATTCATCCCCAGACCCAGAAAAACAATTGAATAAATTGCTCTATTTAAAGGCATACACTGGGCATGTTGGTGCACACTTGTAATCCCAGCACTTTTGGGTCCCAAATTCTGGCAAAGCCTAGGTAATTTAGTAAAACTGTGTTAAAAAAAAAAAAAAAAGGCTGAGGATATAGTTCATTATGAAGGCCCTGGGGTTCAATCCTCAGCAGGGAGGAAGATCCTACCATTTTCTAGTCTAGAGCTAACTCTAGAAACTGTAACTAACAGAGTTAGCTTTCCCAGTAAAAATTCTAATACCTAACAGTATAACAAGAAAAAGATGAGCTTTGGGATCATATTAATGCCAATTACACTATCAAGGTTAGCTTAAGTTAATTACCATCAGAACCTCAGCCATCTCATCTGAAATGTGCTGCAAACACCACCTGACATTACAACATACCTCAATTTTTTGTGACACACCTGAGTGTATTTGGCACAAATGGAGCAGGTACTAAGTAAATCCCAGTTGAATATGAATATTATCTTCCACTGTTTCATTATTGGCAAAACTTGAAAACAGAACTTAAAACAAATTTTATGATTTTGCTTTGTTTTGGGTTTTTTGTTTTGCTTTGTTTTGTTTTTTGAGACAGGGTCTGGCTTTGTAGTTCAGGCTGGCCTTGAGCTCACTCTGTAGCCCAGGCTGGTCTCGAACTCACTTTGTAGCCCAGGCTGGTCTCGAACTCGAAACGATCCTCCTGCCTCAGCCTCCCAAGTGCTGGGATTACAGGCGTGTGCCACTACGCCCGCCTGTTTTGGTTTTTTGAAACAGGGTCCCACTATGTAGTTCAAGCTGGCCTTGAATTCGCAGCAATTTTCCTGCCTCAGCTTCCCCACCGCTCCGCAAATGCTGAGATTACAGGCGTATACCACCATGCCCAGCTGTACTTCTAATGGGAGTCAGAATAGTACTAAGCTCTTAGTAAGTACTCAAAAGTTATGTGTGGTTTGAACCAACTCGGTATAAATTATGGTGGTTAAAGTGCACATTTACTAGGTAAAAGAAGAACGTCCTTAACTAGGATGGCAGTGCCGAACTGCTAAAAGCTATGGAAATCTCAAACTTTACAAGATGCCTTGCTCTTACTCTCAAAGACGAATGAACGGACCAGACTGTGGGGGAGGGCGATGCAAAGCATTTCCGCTCCATAATTATGCACCGAGGGTATATTAAACAGTAAAAGGACACAAAGTAAGCACCTCGTTATTAGTTGCTGTTACTAAGACACCTCCCACTGGGAGAATCGACCAAAGGAAAAGAACGGAGGCTGTCAGTCAGAAGAGGCCGAAAGCTGTCTCTGGCCCGATCCCCCTAAACCTTTCGCACCAGCATCTAGGGCCTCCTCCCTAAACACAGGACGACAGGAGGCTGCGGCCTCCCCTAAAGGTCAGGCAAGGCTTTGGACCACGTTTCCTTCCGGGGCTCAGAGCACAGTCGGGACGCCCCCCACGAGAACCCGTACCCTGAAGCCAGGAGCACCGTCTGCCCATAGGCCCGCTCGGGCTTCAGGAGAGGTGGAGACAGGGCGGTCCCGGAGCCGCAGCCGGCAGGGCAGCCACCCGGCCACGTCCTGCAGCCCCATCGCCCCCGAAGGCAGACCCCCAGGACCCTCAGGCTCAGCGCAGGGCGCTTCCCCGAGACTCACGTTCACAGCCGACCCCTCTCAATCCATCAGGCCGCCATGGGCCCGGCAAGGGAGCTCCCCGGCGTCCCAGACGCCCAGCTCCCTTTAGGGTCCCGCGGCCCGCTCCGGACCGGCTCCCCGCCGGGCACCGCTGCCGCCAGCACGCAGGCGCACAGCGCCGGCGTCCCGCTCTTCCCCCGGCCCTCTCAATAATCGAGCTTTATTTAAACACGAGCGTGAACAACGGACACAGCGGGTAAGGCTTTACTCAGAACCGAGACCCAGGGGCAAGACCAGCTTGTAGGTCAATCAGTCTGCGCCACCAACCTCGCTGAGCTTTTTGCGTTCTCTCTTCTCGTTCTGGGCCTCCCACCATAAGCAGTGGCAACTGTTTCAGCTAAATTCCCAAGCCATTCCTACCTGTGAAACAGCCAAATTTAATGGAAGGGGCAGGAGCTTTAGGAAAGACGCAATTCAAATCTGAGCCTCGCTACTCCAGTTTGTAACTTTAGGCAAATAACATGTTTTCTTGGACCCTCAGTTTTCTGAGTTAAAACTATTAGCGACACCCGGCGCGGTGGCGCACACCCGTAATCTCAGCACTCCACAGGCTGAGGTGGACAGATCGTTTCGAGTTTGAGGTCAGCCTGGGCTACATAGTGAGCTCAAAGCCAGCCTGAACTACATAGGGAGACCGTGTCTCAAAAAACAAAACAAAACAAAACAAAACAAATTGCTAGAGAAATATCTCACAGTATTGCTAAGATTAAATGAGACTCCTTCTCTCCAAGGGTTAGTGCTGAGGGGTTGGGGGAGTGTGCTCCAAGCTCCCCAATACGTATTTTTTAGGATCTTGCTGTGTGGTCCAGGTAGGCTTGAATTTATGATCCTCCTGCCTCACCCTCCTAAATCCAAGGATTACAGGTGTGCTGCACCACTTTAGCTTCCACATTTATTATATTTTTCAATTTTTTGAAGGGGTGAGTTTTGGTTTGTTTTGAGACAGGCTCTTGCTATGTAGTTCAGGCTGTCCTTGAACCCACTGTATAGCCTAGGCTGGCCTCAGACTCATGGCAATCCTCCTGCCTCAGCCTGCTAAGTGCTGAGATTATAGGCGTGTGCCACCATGCCTCGTTTATAATTTTTAAATTTTAAATAAGAAGCAAGATGTATCATGTACAAGAAAAAGATATATCATGTACAGGTACAAATTCTCTATGATGAACGTTATCATTATGTATATCTAAAATGTACAAATTTTTAATGCAAAAATAAAATCTTTTTAAAAAGATTAAATGGGGTAGTATAGGTCAAGTGTTTATCCATAAATGTGAACATTCCATCAATATTAATGGTTATATTATAATCCATATCCAAAATTAAACAGGCCATACTCATTCCCTGGGATCCTTATTATAATAACTAAGACTAGTCAGATAAACAAAATTACAGTAACTTTGATAATAACGTAAAGTGCTACTCCTTCCATATAGGTAATTTAAACTATAACATCTCCATATAGTGAGACCTTCAATGCCCCAAATTGAAATAAACTGCTATTTTCTAGAGGTTTAGCAAACTTCTAATTTTGTATTTGTGACATCACAAGTACTTGAAACATTCAGGTTCTATGCTATACTGCTCATTCTTCTCTCCTTTAAAAACATACATGAGCCAGGTTTGGTGGCACATGCCTGTAATCCCAGCACTTGGAAAGCTGAGGAAGGAGGATTGCCATGAGTTTGAGGCCAGCCTGGGTTACATAATGAGTTCAAGGCCAGCCTAAATTACAGAACGAGACTCTGTCTCAAAAAAATAAATAAAAACATACACGAGCCTGGTATGGTGGCACATGCCTGTAATCTCAACACTGGCAGGAATGAGATAGGATTAGGGCATGGCAAAAGCTGGCTGGGGCAGTAGGTGTGACCTGTTAACTATAAGAGGCTGCGCACATAGCAGAACAGTTCCCAAAGCCCCGCATGTGAACTTTTTTCAAGAACTCAGGTGGGTTTTCGATAAGATGGCGAAAACCTGACATCAGCCTAAGGAATGTGATCCTAGCACTGCCTCTCAGGATCTGTATATAGAAGTTCTTTTGAGTTTCCTTGAGATTTGGACAGCATAAAAGAAAGGCAGCCCTGAGGAATGGGGTTGTCCTAACATTCCACGGTAGCCCATGCTGTGTTTCCCCAGACAGTGTCTACTTTTAGCTTTACTCTCCCTCTTTTCTCAGCGCTCTCTTTACTCAGCCCAAGCTCACTCTTCAGAGCTAGTTTCTCCCCAGCTCTTCACTTTTACTTTCTCAAACTTGGCCACTGCTTTTTGCTCACTTTGTTCAGTTCTTTGTTTGAGACAAGAACAACCTGGAATCCAGCTCCAGAAGGAGAGGCAAGCAATCCAGAACCTATAATATATAGTTGGCAGGCCACTTCTAGAAGTAGGCTACCCAATAAAAGGAGGACCACCAGTTCAAGGCCAGCCTGAACTATGAAGTGAGGCTCTGTCTCAACAAAACCAAACCAAACCATGGAACTGTTTATTCTATAATATCTGGCCCATACACCACAGAAAAGTATACAGAAGACCAAGGTCGACACTGGTGAGCTCCAAGATTACTTTAAATCAGGATTTTTCACTCTTAAAATATTGTACTGACTTTTTTTTTTTTTTTTGTACCAGGTATCAAATGTAGGACCTTGTGCTTGCCAGGCAGGCTCTTGTGCTGCTGAGCTATATCCCCAGACCCTTGTACTGACATTTTAGAGCATGTAATTCTTTGTTGTCAGGGCCCGCCCTTGCATTTGAAGATGTTTAGTAGCATCCCTGGTGGCTAGATGTGAATAATACTCCAGACCACCCTTGCTTTCATCACAATAATAAAAAAGTATATCTAGATTAAATTATGCAAAATGTCTCCTGGAGCCAGGTATGATAGCTCATGCCTGTAATCCCAGTACTGGGGAGGCTGAGGCAGGAGAATCATTGCAAGTTGAGACCAGATTCTGCTACAAAGGGAGCTCAAGGCCAGCCTGAACTGCACAGTGAGTCCATGTCTTAAAAAGACAAAAAGAAAATGTCTTCTGGAAGGCAACACTCCCTGATGTAGACCCATAAAATTATATCCAACCTCACATGAACTCAACCATACATATTCTTCATCTCTGGCTTCAGGAAGTGATTACTGGATAAGGGAACTATACAAACTGGTCTGTTCATGTCTAACAATCTTTTTTTTTTCCCTAGAATTGAACCTGTTGTAGTCAGAGTTTGCAAGAACAGACAAATACAGGACACACAAATTATAGGATTATTTTATTATAGTCACCCAAGAATCATATATAAAGAGTGCAGGAAATCTGTCTACACACTAAAGACCAAAAGAATCCAGCTGAGGGCCTGGATCCCACAGCAATGTCCTACATGAGTCCAGCTGAAGAGCTAGAGCCCTTGACAATGCCCCCAACGAGTCAAACTGGAGGCTGAGAGCCCACGACAATGTCTCATGCAGGCCTCTTTCAAGGATCTGCACTGGGAAGGCCCAAAGGTCAGTGGTGGAAGCTAGAAAGTCTGTGCTAGTGTGATGAAGGATCTGTGTCAGCAGGCTGAGGGATCTGCAGTGGAGCCAGGAAGCAACACTCAAAGCAAGAACCAGAGCTCCCCTGAAAGGTACCATAGCCATCCTCAGCGACCACGAGGTCCCAAGGTCCTCTGATGATGAGAACGACTGAGTTTATATCAGGAAAGCCAGTGCGACAAGCTTCTCCAGGACATTGAACAGTGTACCATCTTCCCCTCCAGAGCCGGGAAATGGTGCTCAAACTCATGACCAGAGCTCCCCCAAAGTGAACCATAGCCATTCTCAATGACAACAAAGTCCTGAGCTCCTTCAACAATAAGAACAGCCTCATTATCCTCCAGGAGAACCAACAGTTCCCTAACAACTTTGAAACTTCTTCCTCTCCGGTTCTGCCTCTTATGCTGCCAGCAACAATCCTCAAGTGAGTCTCCCAGCACCCAGCACCATGCTGGTTCAGTTCAGCTGGGTGTTACAAGTTGACTACCAGTTGTCAAGCCACCCCAGAACCCAAGGCCTTCACATTGAGTTAACTTCCCCAGGGTCTCACTAAATCTTAAATTGCCCAGGGTGGATTGCACCACCACATCCAGCTTTTTTTTTCTTTGACACGGTCTTACTGCCTCAGCCTACAAAATGTTAAAATTACCTGTGTATGCCACCAGGCCCCCATCATTTCTGCTATTTATTTTTGCAGTACTGGGGATTGAACCCAGAAGCTTCACACTGAGCTACATCCCCAGCTCTTTTTCTGTTTTTGAGGCAGTGTCATGCTAAGTCACTAAATTGCCCAGACTGGGCTGGGATGATGCTGGGTCCTCTTGCCTCAACTTCCTAGAATTCTGGGTTTACAGGTGTGTACCACCATACGCAGCTCATTTCTACCAATTTTAAATAAGACTTTGTTGGGAGCCACTGGAGCTGAGTCATATGTGTGAGGGCAGGACAGAACCAGAGTGCCTCAAGCAGTCAAGCTACCTCAGTATTGAAAAAAGCATCCTGCCTGGACAATTACAGTCTTTATTCGCTAGGCAACAGTACCACTCCTGATACCAATTTTGCAAGAGTATAAAATAAACACCCCTACTGTTGAAGTCAGTCCTTTTCCCATCAGGTAAGAGGTAACTCCACCTGACCCAGTTCTTGTCTCTTGTCTTTATTTTTCTCATACCCACTGTCATTTCTCTCCATGGTACAACAAGAGACCAACGAGGTTCCCTACAGGACTTCACCACTGGTTACCAGTTCTACTAATCTCTGATCAACTAGAGATAGGAGATTAAGGTGAGGCAAACTACCTGAGAAAGTGGGCATGACTTGCCAATAATGGAGATCCAGGAAATGTGCAGAAAAACAGTTCCCAAAGCCCTGCACCTGGAGATCCATCAGAGAATATTAGCTTCAATTCTCAGGAGAACTTAAGGCAGTTCTTGATAGGACTAGACCTGACCTCAACTTGAGGGGTGGGAGATACAAAGGACTGTTGCTTTTGGCTCTTGGCCACTGTGTTCTCTCTTTTATGATGGTCCACTGTCATCCTCTAAAGCATACATCTTGAGCCAGGGCTATACCTCAGTGGTACAAGCATCTTCCTGGCAAGTGCAAGGTCCTGAGTTCAATTCCTGGTATATAAAAAAAAAAAGCGTACATCTTTTCCTACTTTTAAATGGTCCACACTCACTCTGCAGAGTATGTTTCTTTCTCCACCTTTAATAAATGCAAAACATCACTATCTTTTATGCTTGTTTGGTCCAATTCTTTGTTCAGGACAAGAAGTACCTAGGGAAAAAAAATCTCCAGGAGGAGTTCCCAGAACCCTAGAACCAGGTAGCAAACTTGTTCCGTCACTTTCCACAATACTTTAAAGCTTCTCACATTCCGTAAAACTCCCAACATCAACTTCATTTTTCATCAGTGGATGATCTCCTATTTCACAGAGAATACAAGTCATCAAATGAGAACTTCCTTTATTTTCTATTGCTAAACATACAAACTTGCAAATGCTTCCTCTTACTGTAAAGAACAGTGTATTTAGTTAGCTTATGAGTGAGGCAGCTAGCTAAGGGTAGGGCCTGAGATAGAGTTGAGTAATCAGCCATCCTGATGGGACTCGGAATAAGGAACAGTGAACTATAGGACCTCAGAGCAAGGATGAACTTCCTCACGCAACATGGAATGCAGTACCCTCCTTACAAAAGGGAAATATAGCCACTCCCTACTGAGCTCCTGAGTTTTGAGGATTTAAAAATACGATGAAAAAGCAAATTTTCCCCTAAAATTCCAGTTTCCTTTAAAGCCTACATACAGAGAAACTGGTTTGGAAGCCTGAGTTCCAACTGGTATTTTAAATCCACCTGTGATATGAAACCTCTGAACAAGCAAGCAATTCTTGTGCTGTGCTTATCTATAATTAGAGATGGGTTGAGGAGTTACCAGCCATCCACTGAGGATACCTCCTGGAAATCAAGAGCTATTCTTATTTCCAATAAGACTCTCCTAATCTTTTTTTGTTGTTGTTCCGATGTTGTAAGACCATGAACTCTGCAATTTGACATCTAACAGGTTGGGAGGTTTTTGCTTTTTTTTAACCATCACATTAGTATAGTTGAGGAAGTATTTCCTTTCTCTCTCTCTCTCTCATCTTTTTTCCCAAGACCATTTCTCCCTCTTGTGCTCTGAACTGCCTCTACTCTTACCCTCTGGAGACCTTATCTATTGAGTATCCTTTCTTTCTTTTTGATGTACCGGGGCTTGAATTCCTGTAGGAAGCACTCTACCACTGAACTATATCCTGAGCCATGTCTTTCCTTTCTTTAATTCAACTTTAAAAAATTTTTTGGTACCAGGAATTGAACTTAGGACCTTGTGCTTGCCAGGCAGGTGCCATGCCCCTGAGCTATATCCCCAGCCCATAATTCGACTTTTTTGTTCGTTATATCTTCCCTATCATGTTTATCCTTTCTTAATTCTATCAAAAATATAGACGTCAAAAAAAAAAACTTTGACCGTCATCATTCTCTCTCTCTCTTCCTTGTGAAGGCCAAAATTTCCAGAAACATTCTATAACTTGTCCTCGTTTCCACATTTAAGCTAGTGCACCCTAGTTTGCAAGCCAATCATTTTCCTAAACAGCTCTCAGCAGCATTACCAATGACCTCTGTGTTATTAGATTCAAAAGACTTTTTCAGCCTTCCTCCTCTTTGATCCCTTAGGAATAGACTACCCTCCCTCCAATACGCACACCATTTCCAGGATTTTAAATTCTTAGATATGTGTGGAAGAGATGCCCGAATAAGTAGTTTAAAATAGTTATCCGCCTGCTTAAAACCCACCTTTTCCCACTCTTCGGTGCTGGGGATTGAACTCAGCATGCTCTACCACTGAGCTACAGCCCCCATCCCTCACATAATTTTACTTTGACGCGAGGTCTCACTGTGTTGCCCAGGCTGGTCTCTAACTCGCCATCTTCCTACCTAAACCTCCTAGTAGCTAGGACTATAGGCGTGAGCCATCACACTAGGCTCACCGCCAGCGTTCAAAAGCTCTTGTCTCCTACATTCAGGGCCTATAAGGAGCTCTACACCTCTAACAAAGATGCACTACAAGAAAGCTCCAGAAGGTACTATGCTGTTCTTTGCATAAGTTGTTCTTGCAGCCTGAAACACTATCTCCTTTCCTCCCGGACTTCCGGGGGTGGGGGGAGGACTGCTTATCTTTTAGTTCTAGAAAGTCATTTCCTCCCGTAAGCCTTACAGACACCCCTACTAATAAAATCTTGTCCACTATAAGCCGAAGGCTCTTTGGGTTTTCTACGTGCCAGGCACCGTATTTGCCCCACTATACTTTGTTTAGGTGTCTGTCTTCTAGTCTAGACAGATCAAAGACCTTGTAGGTCAGGACCTTGTAGTCGCCTTCTTTTCCTCAGCACAGTATCTGGCACATGGCTGCCTTCTGTAAACGTTTATTGCTTGTACACCGGGCAGGATGGGAATGTATGGAGTTAACGGGTGAGTTCCCAGGCTCTCCGCCTGCGTGGCAGGGCGATTTAAACCTCTCGCACGTGATTGGCTCCCACTGCAGAGGTGTGTCTGCGACCGCGGCGCAGGAGAAATGCGCAGGCGCGCAGGAATGATGCGCGCAGGCGCGATAAAGGCGCGGTGCCTGGTCTGGTCTCGAGTGTCCGAGCTGCAGCGGCCGGAGAGGAGTGGCCGGAACCTCTCGGTGAGCCGCCTGGAGTGGGGCTGAGGGAGCTGGTCTGGGGGAAGTGTAAGATACCATGAGGCAGAAGAATACGACTTTTGAAAAGTCTGGGCCGACGGGCAGTTGCGGGGGGTTCGGCCCACACTCGGCAATTGGGCCCGCGCTGGGACGCCGGACGCCGGAGACTGGAGGGGCCGGTGGGGGAAGTGTGGCGGGTGCTAGTTGCCGGACTCTTCCTGGAAACCGGAGATCAGTTCCCAGCCCCGCATTCCCCACCTCACGGTATGGTGTGGGCAGAATCCATAGACACTTGATGAGATAGTTGAAGGAATTGTTTGGAAAGAACCCTGAGGGTTCACGGCTTTGGGTAGTTCTTGCCCTCTAGGAAGTCCGTCCTCACCTTCCTGCTTCTCAGCAGACGCGCGAGGGATCAGCAAAAGAAGGAATTCTACAATTCAGGGTTGAAGTAGTGAGGAAGAAAAATACTGTAAAGTGCTGTTTCATTTCTTCTTCTTTTTTTGTCCTTAGTTATTAGTCACTACAATGTTAGGAAAGGCAGCTGATGGTAAAAGAAACCGAAAATATCAAAACTGAGAAAAGAAAGAGTTATCATTTTACCATTTGTTGTTAGTCATCTCCTAGGTTGAGAGTGGAAGAATACTGTGCCTGGGAGAGAGGAGTTTGGATACTGTATTTTCAGAGTTGTGAAAAATACAGTAGCTTTTTTTTTGTTTCCTGTAGTTGTGTTTTTTTTGTTTTTGTTTTTTTGTTTTTTTTTGTTTTGAGACAGGGTCTCACTCTGTGGTTTAGGCTGGGCTTGAACTCACTGCGAACCTCCCACATGCTGAGATTACAGGTGTGCGCCACCACACTTGGCTTCTGTTGCTTTTTTTTTTTTTTTTTTTTGTCTTTTTGATACAGAATCTCACTGTAAAGTTCAGGCTGGTCTCAAACTCACTTTGTAGCCCAGACTGGCCTTGAATGCGCAAAGATCCTCCTGCCTCAGCCTCCCAAGTGCTAGGATTACAGGCACGCACCGCCATGCCCCACCTGTTGCTTCTTAATAGCAGATATTTTAAGAATTGAGAGGAACCTACTTCATCTACCCTGCTGCCTTTGAAACTGATTTTCAGGCTGGGCTTGTTGGCACACTTCTGTAACAGCCGCTCTCTGGGAGGCTGAGGCAGGAGAATCAAAAGTTTGAGTCCCCCCACTATGATTTAGTGAGATCCTTTCTTAAAGTAAAACATTTTTTTACTGTAGCTCAGTATGAAGGCCCTAGATTCAATCTGCAGTAACACAAAATTAGTTAATTTTATTAAAACGTAGTTCTCCCTGGATGTGGTGGCACACACCTGTAATCCCAGCACTCGGGAGGCTGAGGCAGGAGGTTCCTGCGACTTCAAGGCCAGCCTGGGCTACAAAGTGAGTTCAAAGCTAGCCTGAATTGCATAGCAAAACCCTGTCTCAAAAAAAAAAAAAGACAAAAAACTGATTCTCAAATGTATGAGTAAAATATTAGTAGTACATACATGGCCTGGTAGAAATGGATTTTTTTTTTTTTTTTTTTGTGATGCTGGTGATTGAACCCAGGGCCTTCACACTGAGCTATATCTCCTGCCTTTTTAATTTTTTTGTTTTGAAACATTCGTGCTAAATTGCTAAGTTCCCCAAGCTGTGCTGAAACTTTCCATCCTCTTGCTTCAGCCTCCTGTAGCTCTGGGTCACCACGCCTGCCCCCACAGTTATGCCTGTAATGGAGTACCAGTAGCAAAATAAGGAAAACTAGTATTCCTGCCACTGCAAAGTTGATGCCTAAGATTTCGAATGATCACTTCTCATTCATTCTCTTGAAGCAATGAGAAGCGGGGCATGGTGGTACATACCTGTAATGCCGGCGTTTGGGAGGCTCAAGCAGGATTACCACGCAAGTTCAAGGCCTGCCTGAACTGCAAAGAGAGACCCTTTCTTAAAAAACAAAAAAGAAATAATGAGAACACGTTTGTATAATTAGTAGCAAATAAGAGAAACATCTTTTTTTTGATCCCTCGCCATGGTCCTGTGGCAGGTCATGTGAAAGTAAATGATCACATACCTTAGCCTGCAGGCTTTTTTTTGTTTGTTTGTTTTGTTGTTTTTGTTTTTTCTGGTTCTGGGAATCGAACTCATGACCTCAGGCTTTCCAGGCAAGCGCTTATACCACTGGCCAGCCTGCAGTTTTAAGTATTTATCAGTCTTGCTAGGTTGGAGTTTTTTTTTTTGTTTTTTTGTTTTTTTTTTTTTGAGTGTTTATATGTATGTGCCTTAGAAAATTGTTGCTATCTTGGTTCTAGAAACAGATGACTTTTTGTGCCATTATTTTCCTAACAGTATTCTTGTTTCCTTAAACAGTAGAAATTGTGTGTATATCTTGGTGTTTGTTTCTTAAACTCTGAATGAACTTACTTTATGTACATAAGCTTCCTTGACAAAAGGTCCTATCTTTTCTAATTTATTCAAAACAACATAGAACGAGAAAGAAAGCTCGCAAACAAAAACAGGCCTTATGCTTATGACACAACTGTTCTTCACTTATGAATCATACTGCCACATAATTTTGGCCATTTAGAATGCTGTCTGTTATTACTTTAACTTCAGTTGTTATTGTTTGATGTGCTGGGAATTGAACCCAAGCCTTAAGCATGAGAAGCACCCATCCTACCTTTAAGCTATACCTCCATCCCCAATTTTACTTCATACTTTAAATGTTTTCTTACATAGTGAAGTTCTATTGAAATCATGATTATGTATTTTATAGCTTTTTCTAGGACACATTATAATATATAATAGGCAAGTGTGTAAATTTCTCATGTATCAGCTAAAAATCATCTCATATTTTTGCTCTGCACTTTGCAAAATACTGTTTTGGACTTAATCTACTTATTTTTAATATAAAATGAAGATTAGACTAAAGACAATAAGATTCAATTCTGTGAGCCCTGGGATACTATTCATTGTTGTGGTCTAATTCCGATAAATTTATTTGGTTTCACCAGATGAATGAAAATTAGAAACCAAAAGCAAAAGAGGATGTTTGCTCTTTGGTACATTTATGAAATCAGCTTCCTTTCTCCCCCTCCTTCCAATAAGTTTGGTTTTTTTTTCTTCTTTGGCTGCTATATCTCACACACTCTAGAAATCTGCTTTTTAGCCATGTCTGCATTATGTATAAGGTGTGGTCAAAATATGTGGTGAATGTTTTTAAAAATGTTATTGAACTGGGTGTGATGGTACATGTCTGTAATCCCAGTACTCAGGAGGCTGAGGCAGGAGGATGGTTGCGAGTTTGAGACCAATCTGGGCTACAAAGTGAGCTCAACGCCAGCCTGAACTGCATAGCGAGACCCTGTCTCAAAAAGACAAAAAAAAAAAAAAGTTTTTATAATAACAGACATTGAAATCCCCTCAAAGTACATATTTAAAGTTGTACTTCCCCTCACTTAAAAAACACATATCACATCATTCTTGCCACTTGATGAAGACCTCTTTTGTGTTTTTAGTTGTGCTGTGACTACTATTTCCATGTCCTGAATCAGTTCAAAACATTTACCTTTCATGAGCATTTTGACTTTGGGAAAGAACCAGTAGTTGCATGGTGCTTGATCTGGTGAATAAGGTGGAAGAGGACACACCACAGTGGTTTTTATGAGCCTGCCTTTCCATTGATGGCCCTTGGCAACAACATTCATATTTTTGGTCACATCGCATAAAGACACTCATGAAAGAGGACTTCCAGAACTGCTTCACAAAGTGGCAAGAATGATGGGATAAGTATGTTCAAAACAAGGGAAATATTTTGAGGGGGATTAATGGCAATGTGTCTTATTCTTTTTTTTTTTTTTTTTTTTTTTTTTTTTTTTTTTTTTGGTTTTTTTTTCTGGTACTGGGAATTGAACTCATGACCTTGCACTTGCCAGGCAGGCGCTGTGCCACTGAGCTAAATCCCCAGCCCCAATGTTTCTTATTCTTAATACATTTTTAAATATAAGCATTCCCTATATGTTCCAGTCATAGTGTGGATATGTTGACTTTTTTTTTTTTGAGACAGGGTCTTGCTATGTAGTCCAGGCTGGCCTTGAAATTGTGGCAATCCTTCTGCCTTAGCCTCCTGAGTAATGGGATTACAAGCATGTGCCCCCATACCTGGTTTGCTTTTTCTTTTGAAATAGTCTTGCTAAATTGCTCAGGTTAGATTCTTGTTAATTTGCCTCAATCTGCCAGAGTGCTGGGATTACATGAGTGAACCATCATGTCCAATTTGTGTTGCCATTTATAATGTATGATGTTGCTTGCGTCCAGGAGTGCTAGATTTGTTATCCTAGTATCATATTTAGAAGAGCAGATGACAGGCACTAGTCTTTTGTTGTTGCGGTGGTGGTGGTGGGTAGAAGTGTGAAGCAGATGGATCCAGTACCTTCAACAATTAGAGGAAATGGGACTGTGGAGCCAGGAAACAGCATGTACTGTGCCTTTTTTTTTTTTTTTTTTTGGAGAAAGGTCATGTTGGGGATCAAACCTAGGGCCTTGTACATACTAGGCAAGTGTTCACCATTGAGCTATACTCCCATTTCTGTACCTTTTTAAATATTGGATATGGAAGAAGACTCCATTTGCATTTATTTTAAATTCACTGATGTTTTTGGTTTCACTTTAGGCTGTATTGTATTTAAACCACTGATTACTGAGTTTTTCTGGAATTACTTCATCTTGCTGATTTTCTTGAGTTCTGAAACATATTTAAAGTTGTTTTAAATTTATTTTGACAGTTTTGACTATTGAAATTACTTTAGATGGTCTCTTAGTGCTTATGAGATAAAATCTAAACTTCTTGGTATAGTATACAAAGCTCTTTCTAATCTAACTTTAGAATGCCCTTTAGAGCTACTCTGACCTCTACACACATATTCCTGCCAGATACCTGAGGCTGTCCACTGTGGCATTTCTTTGGAAGTCCAGAATGATAAATTTTTTAGAGTTGATTATACTTGAATTTTGACTTACACAAATCAAAATTAATTTTATTTTATTTATTTTTTAATTTTTTTGCAGCTAAGTATAAGCTCTGCCAGGAGCTCTATCACCAGACCCTGAGCTTTACTCCCCAGCCCCAAGATGTTTAGTAATTATGAAAATTGTAATAACTGGGACTACTCAGAAAGCTGAGGCAGGGGGATTACAAGTTCCAGGCCAGCTAGGACAACCATAGCAAGACCACAACCCAGAAAAAAAAAAAAATTATAACACCCATTATTGAACACCTTGTACTGGTACTGTTTTTTGGTGCAGGGGATTGAATCCAGGGCTTCCTGCATGCTAAAGACATTCTCTGTCACTGAGCTATACCCTCAATGCTTAAGCATTTTTCTAAATGCTTTGCACGGATTAACTCAATCCATACAACATTTGAAGTAAACATTATTATTTGATGAGAAAACTAAGCCACAGAGAAGTTCAATAATCAGTGGTTAGTATTTAAAGCCATTATGTTTCCAAATAATGGCCACTTAACTATTATATTGCCTTTTATATGAATAGGAATGCTAGTCTCCTAGTGTTCTGTGGAGGATACTCTTTTCCAGAGACCTGAATGCTTGTGTTCTTTATATGTGCTTTCAAAGGCCTAGCATCAGAATATTTGAGAAGCTAACCAGAAAGTATCTAAGTAAGCTAAGAGTGTGAATGGGGACACTGTTTCATGGAGTTGAAGCCTTGCATGCTAGCCCCACAGTTGGCATCTCCCAGGCATATAACTGTACACCTGCCAGATTGTTTGTATGTCTTTCCCAGGCAGATGGCCAACTTCCGGCTGTAGGACTTCTTTCTTATCTTCGGTATAGACAGAGATGATATCACTGGTTACAGTCACACCTACCTTTGGCTCCCCAGGATTATTCTTGGTTCACTTAGGTTAGAATTGTGAGGTTTTCAGGTTGACAAGGACTTTTCTAGGTGTTGGCTATTATAATTATTAAAGTATAATAGATACTTCTGTAAACCTAAGTGTAATTTTGGTCCATTTTGGTTTTTGTTCCTGATTTTAGTGGTTCTCTCCCATTCAGTATGATTTCTGTCCTGAATCATGTACTTTATTGTGCTTTGAAACCAAGATGTTTGTAAGAAGGGCTAAAGTTGATCAGCTAGAAGAAGGTAAAGGCCACTTGAGAGAGGAAGTAAAAGGAGGAACCAACCTATCCTTAGCATAAATGAGACTCATCTAAATGTCTTCAGGAAGAATTAAACTTCCTAATTAGAGCATAGTCTGTTTTTCTTGGCCTAAGCAAGAATATTTATAGTTTGTGCAGTTACTTCGCATGTGTCCACAGTAGGTGAGTAAGTATCTGGACATTTTTAACTCATTAGAAGTGGAATCTAGGAGCAAAAAAAAAAAATCCCTGCTGAGCAGTGACACATGCTTATAATTCCAGCTACTCCAGGAGGCTGAAGCAGGAGGATCACAAGTTCAAGGCTAGCCTGGACAATTTAGTGAGACCTTTCAAAAAAAAAGGCAAAAGCCGGGTGTGGGGGCGCATGCCTGTAATCCCAGCACTTGGGAGGCTGAGGCAGGAGAATCATTGTGAGTTCAAGGCCAGCCTGGGCTACTGAGTGAGCTTAAGGCCAGCCTGAACTGCATAGTGAGACCTTGTCCCAAAAATACAAAACAAAACAAAAAAAAGGCAAAATCCAACTATTTTGGCTCTGATTCTAAGTTCACATAGAGGCTTTCTGATTAGCTTCTCAAACACTCATACCAGAGGTCAGTACCTTATACAAAGAACCTAAGTGATACCATGAGTATAAACGCTTTGTTCATTTCATGAATCTTTGCTCTGTGCCAGGCTTTGTGCTAAGTAATTTATGTATATTAACTTACCTTATTTAATTTATTTAATTATTATTGAGACAGGGTCTTGCTATGAAGTTTAGACTGACTTTGAGCTGACTTTGTAGCCCAGGCTGGTCTTGAACTCACAATGATCCTCTTGCCTCAGCCTCCCGAGTGCTGGGAATACAGGCATGCACCACCATGCCTGGCTTTAACTTATTTTATTGCTGCAACAGAAATAAAACTTTCTGGGAAGTAGCTTTTATCTAAACGAATTTGGAAACTGACACAAATAGGTTAACTTGCCTGTGTGGGTGCCATAGTTTGGATGTGATTTGTACCTCAAAAGTTTCATGTTCTAGAAGCTTGGTCCCCAGTCTGGCTATGTTGAGGTCTGAGTACTTTTTTGGTTCTGTTGTCTGAAATGGGGTCTCACTATGTTGCCCAGGCTCGTCTTCTGGCGCAGGCTATTATGATCCTTCTGCCTCAGCCTCCCAAGTAGGTTGGGGACTACAGACGCACACTATTGTGCCTGGCTTGAGGTGGTGGGACCTTTAGAAGATGGGGATTAGGGGAAGATAATTAGGACATTGGGAACCTTGCCAGTCTCCTGGAGTGAGTTCTCTGAAGGTTGGGTTGTTCTAAGGAGCCCACCCTACACACTTGGATCCTTCTGTATACAGATGCTTTCCTTTCAGTTTTTCTGCCGTGCTCTGACCCTGCCAACTGTGAGCTAAATAAACCCAGCCTCAGACATTTTATCAATAGAAGATGAACTAAGACACAGGCTGTCAGTGCTAGGATGAGTTCATCCTAGTGCTAGATAAACTGCTGGACTTCCGAGGCTGCTACTAACCAATACATTATGCTGACCCAGCGCAAGAACACAATGTACTAAATGATCTCAGCTTATTAGAGTAACAAGGTAAGTAACAGAAAATTTATTGGTTTTTTTAAAAATTTATTTATTTGTTAATTTACTTATTTAGTGATACTTGGGGAACCCAGAGACTTCGTATTGAGCTGCATCCTCAGTCTATGTATGTATGTATGTATGTATATGTATTTGACAAGGTCTCACTAGGTTTCTCTGGCTGGGCTTGACTTTACAGTCCTGCCTCAGCCTCCCAAGTGCTCAGATTACAGGCATGCGTTATCATGTCTGGCCTAAAGTGAAGTGTTTTATAAAATCATTCTTGGCAGGACTTTTGTGGAATTAATGGTGATTTAAAGTTTTTCTTTTTTTTGTTAATTCCTGAATAGGTGTCCAGTTTTATGAACAGAATCATACTGGATCTTCCAAGGACTTTTTTCTGTGTATTCCTTTTCAGTAGCCTTATTTCCGTTTCTAAAATAATAGCTATTTTCAGCCATTTTGTAGAGGAGCCATTGAACCCAGGCCCTCAAGTGTGGTGGTCAAGCACACTACTACTGACCTCAACCCTAGCCCATATTTTCAGGTTTTAAAATACTAGATAGCAATTGAAAACCATGATTATTCAGGACTTTCTGTTGTTTCTTCCTTTAACTTACCATATTTGACTCTGGAAAAGATAAGATTCTGTGAATTTTTTTGTTTTGTTTTGGTTTTTTTTTTTTTTTTTTTTTGGTCTTTTTGAGACAGGGCCTTGCTATGCAGTTCAGGCTGGCCTTGAGCTCACTTTGTAGCCCAGACTGGTCTTGAATTTACAGCAATCCTCCTGCCTCAGCCTCCTGAGTGCTGGGATTACAGATGTGCACCACTACGCCCGGTGAGATTCTGTGATCTTTTAGAAGCCACCTGAAATTTAGACATGAGCCATCCGGTAGGATTGTTCAGATTATTTTGCAATATTCATTGGATCTCGTATGGTCTCATAGTTCTTAAGGAAGTTAGAGTCAACAGTAAACCTATTTACGAGATCATGAGCTAACCCTGGTTTCTTTTCTCTCTCTTTTTTCTTTTCTTTTTTTCCTTTTTTTGGTACCGGGAATCGAACTCAGGACCTTGCACTTGCCAGGCAGGTGCTTATGCCACTGAGCTATATGCCCGGCCCTCGCTCTTTTTTCTTGAGACAGGGTCTTGCTATGTAGTTCAGGCTGGGCTTGAACTCACTGTGTAGCCCAGATTAGTCTCAACTCACAGTCATCTTCCTGCCTTAGCCTCTCGAGTACTGGGATTACAAGTGTGCACCACTATGCCTGGTTAACCCTGGTTTCAGAGTAGATCAGACTGGAAGAATCTGTTCCTACTGACTTAGTCACCCTAGGCAAATTACTTAAACCGAGCCTTAGTTTCCCCATCTATGAAAGCGTATAATGGAGACAGTGATGTATATAACTAGTAACTACACGGCATACAGTAGATATGCTATGAACATTTTTTCCTCCACCCAGGTTTAAAATAGCAAAGAAGCAGTGGCACACACCTATAAGGAGGCTGAGGCAGGAGGATTGCTAGTTGGAGCCCTGCCTTGGCAATTCAGCAAGGCACAGCCTCAAAAACATGTTTTTAAAAAGGGCTGAGGATGTAGCTTAGTGATAGAGTGCCCTGGATTCCATCCCTAGTATGGCAAAAATAAAAAGTAATTAAAAGAAGAAAGTTAAATTAGGAGTCTTGGGATTAACCCCTAGTGAACCATAGTGAGGAAAACAGGGTATAAAAAAAGCATTGAGAAATACTTTGTATTTTCCTTTCAAAGGCACACAGTGTAGTATATTAAGTTTCCAGGACTGTTGAAAAAAATAATACAAATATTTAACCTATTACATTAAATTTGAGAATAATAAATTTAATAGCTTCTTTATGTTAGGTTGTGTTTTGGTTTTCAGCTATGTAGTTCAGGCTGGCCCTGAACTTGCAGTGATCCTCCTGCTCCAGCCTCCCAATTTCTGGGATTACAAGTGTGTGCCACTACACTCACCCTCTACCAGTTCTTTTTCCCGGCATTCTGGGTAGCATTGTCCATAAATAAAAACCTGGTGCCGGGTGTGGTGGTGCATGCCTGTAATCTCAGTGCTCGGGAGCCTGAGGCAGAAGAATCACTGCTGAGAGTTGGAGCCCATGGTAATGGGATACGTAGTAAGACCCTGTCTCAAAAAATACACACATACATACATACATACATACATACCTTCTGGTGATAACAAATATAATAAAGCTGTGTAGCTAATTGTAGGTGACACCGGACACCTGTGAGCAGCTTTGCACAGTCTTGTATGAGTCTGAAGAGTATTGAATCTTGTTTCTCTTTGTCCTTCCCTTACAATTCGACTGTTTTTGTGATTTCCACATACCATGATCATGTGTTTACCACCCCCAGGAATCCAAAGTAGAGACTTCTTCAGCGTCTGTGGTCTAGTGTCTGCATGCCATGTGTGTGAGAACTTCACAGGTTTCCAGACTTGGTTTTGTGTGTCATCTGCTTAAGGAATTAAAAAAAAGAAGTACTGAGCAGATCTGAGTTCACTGAAAGGATGTGTTCTTCAGAATGACCTCACTGCCTTCACAGGAGTGATTCTTCACGTTTACTCCCCAGCTGTCTATAGTTTTCAACTGTATCTGTGGTTTTAGGAGTTTTGTTTTGTTTGATATGTACTCTTGAAGTCTTCAGTTTTCTTTTTCTTTATTTTTTTGAGACAGAGCCTCACTATGTAGTTCCTTTTCTGCTAGGTGTGATAGATGGTGCATACCTGTAATCCCAGCACTCTGGGAGGATGAGGCAGAAGGATCACAAGTTCAATTTCAGCCTGGCAACTTAGTAACTTTGTGAGACCCTATCTCAAAATGAAAAATAAAAAGGGCTGTGAACATAATATAAAGGCCATGGGTTTAATCCCCAGTAGTGAAAAAACCAAAGAAACAAAAACCCCTTCCTTTTCATTGTTGTAAATGTACAAGGTTGGCTAAAGAGGAGCGGTGGCATGAGGTGTGTGATAAAAGCTGAAGTCTCATAAGTGATTAGCAGATTAATAAACTGCATGGTTCTATTTGTGCTTATGTCTAATGCATGAACAGTTGTTAATTCAAGAAAGGCCTTTGTATCTTTTTTTAAACAGACTTTTAAAATTAATCTGGCTTTTAAAATTAATTTAAAAATAAAATAAAATTAATTAAATCTGGCTTTTAAAATTAATTAATTAATTAATTTAGAGACAGATTTTTGGTATGCACTTCAGGCTGGCCTGGAACTTGAAGTAGTGCTCCTGCCTCAACCTCCTGAGTGCTGTATGAGCCACCACATCTGGCCTAGGTCTTTATATGTTGATTACCTATTTCAGTGTATTAATCTTTTGGCCTTTACCACAGATATGAAAGATATAAAGTTAAAATTTGAACTTAAAGACTTTTTTCATGAGCCTTTCTCAAGACTTAAAATCTTAATTAAATGTGTGAGGCCCTGGATTTGAGCCCCTGCACCTCCCCCCCCGCACATACACATTAAACCTTAAAAAATTTAGCTATAATAGATTTGTAAACAGGACTCTAGTTGCAGTGCCTTTGTATTCATTTACAGACATTTCTCATTTAATGGCTGAGTGGTGTTCCTGTGACGAGGTTGTTAATTGAATTGGTAGCTAAATGAGGAATTGGATATAGTATGTACATTACAATATTCAGAACAAAGAAATGGTCAAAGGAAACTCCAATTTGATGACTCTGTTCTTTTTGTATGACTTACATGCATTACTGTAATACATAACAATGTAAAACTATAGTACTGTACTGTACAGTACAATCAGCAAAAATTACAGTGCCCTATAAACAAGGTATGCTGTTCAAAAAAAGACTTGAGGCTCTATAATGAAAATGTACAGAACTGTGCACACACACACAAAAAGATTATAAGTTCTAGCAGCAGGTCATAAGTTTGAAAAGTTGTTACGACAAGTTGTTAAAGAGGAACATCTGTATTTTTGCAATACTGGGATTGAACTGAGGGCCTTGGCAATAAGCTAGATCCCCAGCTGTTTTTGTTTTGGTTTTGTTTTTGTTTTTCTGGTACTGGGAATCGAACTCATGACCTTGTGCTTGCCAGGCAGGCACTTTGCTGCTGAGCTAAATCCCCAGCCCCTGCAGCTGTTTTTATTTTATTTTATTTTTTATTTTGAGACAGGGTCTCACTGGTTGCCAAATTGCCCAAGTTGTGCTCAAACTTGGCATACTACTGCCTCAGCCTCCCAAAGAGTTGGGGTCACAGCCGTGTGCCACCATGCCTGCCTTGCAGTAACTCCAGTGTAATCCATATACTGGAAATGCATGTTTTTTAAAAAAGATTTTATTAAAAGTGATGGCTAATAGTAATTTTATTGAACATGGCTAAAAAGGTTTTGTTGTTATTGGTTCGGTGTTTTGTGCTTTTATGGTGATAGGGTTTGAACCCAAGGCTTCTCACATACTAGGTGAGGGCTGTGTCACTGAACTGCAACCCCCCAGCCCTAATACAAAGGATTTGTGTGTGACCGGCAGGCTGTTCCATATCATTAACATGCAATGGTAGCTTTGGGTCTGTAGTTCTAGTAGTTGTTTGGAGGCTTGGTGATACCATCATGTGTAGCTTTTTAGTAAGAGCCACTTTATTTTGAGAGGATGGGCTGTTTTTATACTTTCTTGTGCACTCTGTAGATACTTTCTGAGTACCTGATGTCAGACCGTGATAGATACTAGAGATGAAAGAAGAGCACATCCCTCCACACCAAGCGTTCAGTCTCGTAATGCCTCCTTGGGTAGCTAGGTTCTGTGCTTATTAGTGAGCAAACTCCATAAGCAGTGTTCTCACCGAGGCACTTTGACATTTTAGGCCTGATCATTCTTTGTTGAAAGGCTTTCACAAAGCAAATGGGGTGTTTAATAGCTTCCCTGGCCTCTACCCACTAGCTTCCAGGAGCATCTTCAACCCAAAGTTGTAACAATAAAATATGTCTCCAGACATTGCTAGGTGCCTGAGAACAAATCTAGAATGTGAACCAGACTTTTATGTGCATTGATGACAAGAAGCTTTGATAAGTAGTTTATAAAAATTTAATACAGAGTTAGCAAATGTAATGAAAAGAACCTAGATCTATACTGCAGCACTTGTTACTGTTTGTGATTTCACATAGTGGCACAGAATAAACCTGACTAAATGTTTTGTTTGTTTGCTTAGTGGTGCTGCGATTTGAACCCAGGGCCTTTGCACTAAGCTGCATCTCAGGCCTTTTTTATGATTGATTGATTGATTGGTTGATTGATTTAGACAGGGATCTCATTATGTAGCCCAGGCTGGCCTTGAATTCACAGCAATCCACTTGCCTCAGCTTGCTGAGTGCTGGGATTACAGACGTGCACCACCACAAGGCACTACCCTGTCCCCAAAGTAGCATGGCCCCCTTGGGGTCCCATACAGGATTTTCCAGTGGGTGTGATGAGGGGGAGCCAATAATGGGAGCTGGAGGAGGAGGAGGGGCCAGGGAGTCAGTGCCTGAAGTCCCACCTGACCGTCAGTACATGCTGCAACCACACGACCTCATCACAGCAGTGCCGCATGGCCCAGGCACCTGCCTGCACCCGGTTATTGCATTAAGAAAGTGCTGTTTCATCAGCTGACAACACAGTTCTAAGAATATCTTAGTTCCAGGAATATATTATTTTCTAAAAGCAAAACAGTAAACCACTTTCTCTGGAACTCTGAAAAAGAAAGTGATTCCAGTGTTTTTCATTCGCGTGATTTTGAATTACTTTACTTTGAAATGGACTTGCTGGGTGTGCTGGTGCATGCCTGTCCCAGCACTGGGGAGGCTGAGGCAGGAGGATCCTTGTGAGTTCGAGGCCAGCCTGAACTATAAAGTGAGCTCAAGGCCAGCCTAGCGAGACCCTGTCTCAAAAAGAAAGAAAGAAAGGAAAGAAAGGAAAGAAAGGAAAGAAAAGAAAGAAATGGACTTGCTTGGACTTTCGTTTTGTTTTGTGGCAGTACTAGTGATTGAACCCAAGGCTTCACGCCCTTTTTAAATTTTATATTTAACCTGGCAAGCACAAGGTCCCAAGTTTGATTTCCGGTACCAAAAAGAAAAAGATAGAATAATTTTTTATTTAAAATTTAAATACTAAAATTGACCAGGATGGCTTTAAACTTGAGCTCCTCTTGCCTCAGTCAGTCCTCCCAAGGATTACAGTGGTGCACACCTGTAATCCTCCCAAGTAGCTGGGCTTACAGGTGTGCACCACTGCCTCCAGCTGACTTCTTCACTTCATTGCTTAACCTTGTTCAGACAACATATGAAAAACATAGAGCTGAGAATTTACTTTGTCTCTCTCAGAGCTTGTTTTCCAGTGATGCTTGGTTTCTCAAGTAGTGGGATTACTTTTCCACTGAAAAGGGTATCTCACCTTTAGTACTAATTAACCTTAAATATCCTTTTATCCTCTCTTAGCTTAATTCCTTACCTGCGGGGTATGTGTATGTGTGTTGGTAACTAGATCAGATCTTCGTCCTGTTTGCCTGATAATTACCCAAATTCCATACCTGTATACTCTGTTCAAACTTTTGTGCATCCTTATTCTTATAGAATATCTACATTTCCACCACTGTGCCTTGTAGAATTTTGATTCATCATGGATCATCTGTCACCCGAAGATATTCAGCTGAGGGCTAACCAGCTTACTGATGAGGTAAAGCAAAATAATAATGATTCTGTCTCAGTTTTCACAGTAGAGAAGTGACAGGGCCTTCCTAGAACTCATTTTAGCCTCTTCCTGATCCTTTTATATCAAAGAACACATTTATCCTATAGTACCATCACTACCTTTTTCTTTCTAACTCACAAAAAAATTGCATAAGTGAAAGTGATTCATAATTTTTTTTCTTTTTAGGTAGTCATTTCTAAACAGTTTCATTTTTTTTGCATTATGGGGATTGAACTCACGACCTTGCGCTTGCCAGGCAGGCGCTTACGCCACTGAGCTATATCCCCAGCCCCTCTAAAACAGTTACTTGCAACAAAGATACTCTAAGCTTTTGTTTCCTAATATCTGTGTAATATACTTAGATTTCTGCCAATATTAAATTTTTATGTTCTTTATTAACCCTACCATCTAAATTATTCTCTTAAAGAGCATCTGGTAGGAAGATCAACTTTGTTTTATTTTAAAGAGAAGAATGGCCTAACAGCTTTTAAAATTAGAGTAGCATCATAAATGTAGACTGTGATCTATGTTTTTGTTTGTTTTCATATTTTTGAATATTAAAACTGTTTTTTTCTTAGTCTCTGGAGAGTACAAGGAAAATCCTGGATTTAGCCATTCAGGTAAGAAGTGGTTTTTGTCTATTTGTTTGTTTATTTTTTTGGTCTTTTTGAGACAGGGTTTCACTATGTAGTTCAGGCTGGAGTTGAACTTACTTTGTAGCCCAGGCTGGCCTTGGCTTCCCCAAAGCTGAGATTACAGGCGTGTGCCACCATGCCCAGCCAAGAAGTGTACAGTTATTGCATTAAATACAGAAACTTATAGGTAGGATTTTAATTGCATGAACTGGAGTTGGTGTTAAAGGGTATCATGTCAGTACACCTTATTATCTGAAAGCAGAAGTTGCTGAAATTAAGTCATACACTAATGGGCCTTTTCTGTTTTTTCCCTTTGACAGTATTGGAGTATGACAGGGAAGTTGACTTCATCATGACTTTGTGACTTAATTGTTTTGGGGAATTAATATATTAAAGTACATTGGCTTAAGACTTGTTTCTAAATGATTCCATTTGTCAGTCTACGTAGGTTTGGTTTCTGTTATTGTGGGTTTGTTTTGTTGTATCATCAGCTTTCCTCCTCTTTTTTTAGTCTCAGGATGCAGGAATCAAGACTATCACTATGCTGGATGAACAAGGGGGTGAGTTGAAATAATTGGTAGAAACTTTTTGACGTACAGTGCCAGAAAACCCTGTCAAATCCCCTACTTATAAATTTGGGGGTACCTTCTTTTTGTAAGATAAGAGGGATATGTTTCTTTCCTCTGATTTGAATTATACCACTTTTCTTGCTGGTTTGGGATAGGAGGCAACAGTGCCCAGATGTCTGTTAGATACGTGTTAGGCCAGCATGATGTATTGGAGGCACTGGTTATGAAGATTAGATGTGACGATATTGCATCATCTTCAGCAATCAAAGTTAAGTCCTAAAGCAAATCTAAATTCTGAAGGGTTTAGAAATATTCAATTTGGGCCAAGCATGGTAGTGCATGCCTATAATCCCATTCTTGGGAGGCTAAGGCAGAAAGATTGTCATGAGTTCGAGGCTAGCCTGGGCTGCATAGTGAGTTTAAGGCCAGCCTGTACTACATAGCAAGACCCTATCTCAAAAATCAAAATAAGGATCTAGGTGTGGTGGCACATGCCTGTTATCCCAGCATTCAAGAGGCTGAGCCAGGAGGATCATCATGAGTGCAATGCCAACCTAGGCTACATAGTGAGTTCAAGGCTACTCTGAACTGTACAGTGAGACCCTGTCTCAAAAATCCAAAAATAAGTAAATAATAAAAAGAAAAAGAAAAAAATACAGTGATTCCCTCACCTATTGCACAAGATACGTTCCAGAGACTCCCACCATAGGTAAAAATATGTGAAGTGGGGGCGTTACGTTTATTTATATATATTTTAAGGCTTTATAAACCCTTTCCACACTCTATAAACCTTTCCAACTTTCTTATTAACCTTTCCTACACTCTTATAAACACTTCATATGCTCTTAAACACTTTCTACACCCTTAAACCTATGTAATTTTAACAACATGTAAAATTCGATATGGGTACTTGATGTAAAGTGGACAAGGAGAGATGCTGAACTATGGGCATAGTGTGGGAGAGCAAATAGACTGATGCTACTGTCACCGAGCCAATCAGTGGCCAGGATAGAGAACACAGTGCTGTGGTTGGTTGCCTTCCATTCCATCAGCCAATAGTGTGCCATGTATAATCTCACGTTGACAAACTTGTGCAAGCGGTGGTGGTGTACTGCATTTCCATTGTGTACACTATGGTTTTCATCCGCTGATGAAATACATACTGTATTTTATTTTGATTTGATATTCTTTTAATGTGTTTGAATTAACATTTTTATATTGTTTTAAATTTTTTAGGCAAAAAAATTAAAATAATAAATATTTTTATTTATTATTTTGTATACTGCAAAATCCCGCAATATAGTGAAAACTTCATGATACAGAATTAGATATTTTTTTTAAAAAACCCATGATAACAATGAAGCTACAATAAGTGAACTGCAGTATAGTGAGGGATGACTGAGTATTCAATCTAAGTTGGCCATAAGTAATGTGATCCAGTTTTTATTAGTCTTGTGACAGTCCTCAGGTTTTGAGCCCATTAAGTGATAGAAATACTGGCATTTGGTCTGGTCAAAGTATACTTAACTTGGTTGCAAGAGTACCTCTGAGCCATCCTCCTAAGCTCATCCTTCTGCTCCTCTCCTCTCCTCCCTCCTTTCTCTTCCCCTCCACTCCCTTTCCCTCTCCTCTTACCTTCTCTGTCTCTCTCTTCCTTTTTTTTTTTTGGAGACAGAGTCTCACCATGTAGTTCATGCTGACCTTGAACTCACTGTATAGTCCAAGCTGGCCTTGAACTTGTGATCCTCCTGCTTTAGCCTCCTAAGTGCTAGGATTGCAGGTGTGCACCACTACACCCAGTACAAATTTCTTTAGAATAAATCTTTCTATAGTAAGGGCTAAATCAGGATCGCAAGATTAGTTCAGTTACAGGATCAGTATGTGAAAGATTCTTTCACGTTGAATGGTTTGTAATATCTTCTGACACTGGTATATTCAGTATGGCAGGGTAGATTTAAGGTTACAGTTTGCAGCTTTATAATAATAGGACATTTTTGTTGAGATTGTGAATGTAACACAAAACTTAACTGCCACAACTCATTCTTAGAACAACTAAACCGCATAGAAGAAGGCATGGACCAGATAAATAAAGACATGAGAGAGACAGAGAAGACTTTAACAGAACTCAACAAGTGCTGTGGGCTTTGTGTCTGTCCATGTAACAGGTGAGTTGATAAACCAAGACCTTTTGAAAGAAAGAGAAGGGAGGGAGAATGGATGGATGGATGGATGGATGGATGGATGGATGGATGGATGGATGATGGATGGATAGCTATGCCTACCTTCTGACCCACAGGCTCCTTCACCAAATAAGGTCAGAAATATGATTAGACCTAAATGAGGAACTTTGATATAGACATATTTAAGGTATTTTCCCCTTAATTTGGCATGGTAGTGCATGCCTATAATCTTAGCACTCTGAGAGGATGAGGCAGGAGGATCAAACGTTTGAGCCCAGCCTAATAAATTTAGCAGTTTAGGAAATCCTCTTTCAGAAAAAAAGAAAAAAAAAAAAAAAATAGGGCTAGGGATGTAGCTCAGTGCAAAGGCCCTGGGTACAGTTACCAATACCATGAAAAAAAGTGCTCAGCCTAGGTTGGTGGTGCATGCCTATAATCCCAGCACTCTGAGAGACTGAAGCAGGAGGACTACAAGTTTGAGCTCAGCCTGGGCTAGTTAGCAACTTAGCAAGACCTTATGTCAACATAAATGAAATAAAGAAAAAAAAAAAGCTGGAGATGCAGTTCAATGGGAAGGTTCACATTCAGTATGGGGGACCAAAAAAAGTTCTCCTTCAGGAAGATCAAGCTTTTCATGTAAATAGAATCATTCACAGAAAACTATGCCTTAAATTTGACCAGGCTTGCCCAGGACGAAGTCCCAATTTTAATTTGGACATGGAACAGTTGAGAAATGTATACATCTGGATGTTATGGAATAGGATGGAGTTAGTGTTTTGGTTACTTTTCTCTCATTGGTGAGACAAAATACCTAATGCCCAAAATTAAGGAAGGAAAGGTTTATTTAGCTCAGTTTGTAGAGATTTCTGTCCACACTCAGCTGGCTCAACGTTGAGTGGCACATGGCAGCGGGCAACCGTTCATGGTGGCAGAAAACAGCAAAAGCAACAAAAGCAAGAAGGGAGGAACAGCAGCAGAGAGCAAGCCTCTTTCCCTCCCTTACATTGTATGCAGGCTGCCCACTCTAGGGTGAGTGTAGCACACACACCCATAATCCCAGCATTGACCATGAGTCGATCAAAAACTCTAGAAGCCCACCCTATGACTGCATGAGGCTTTGGGGGGACATCCAGACACAAAGTATAACAGTTAGTGTTTTTTACTTTAAAACAAGGAGTATTAACACTGTGGCAGGAGTATTCTGCCAGGGCATATGAGAGATGGCCAAGGAAGTGAAGGACTTGGGCACTATCTTTAAAAGACTTGTCATGTGCTTGGATATGTGAGAAAGAATGGCAAAAGACACGTAAATGTGGTGTTAGATCATGTGATACTGACTAAGGTGCGGAACTGGTAAAAGTCAGGTTAGAGAACATCTCAAGGAGGCAGGACATGAGCTGGGCTTCAAGTGAACATGGAGGAAGAGGGGATCTAGGGAATAAAAGCTCAGTGGGAGGCAATGGGTGCAGTCCCCAGGAACTGAGCAACAACAACAAAAAAGAAAAAAATGGGAGGTGGAGGACATTCCTTGGGAGATATTCAGAGTAAACAAACAGTGAAGAAGAGCTTGACCCAACTAAGCTACATGATTCATGTAGAAGAGGAGTGGAAAATAAGCAGGTAGTGGAAGAAACCAAATTGAGCTGTGTGACCTTATCCCATGATCGTGCTAGTTAAAAACCTTTTGTAATGTAGGGTGAGACTCATGAGGTAAGACTTGATCAGCGAGTTAGCAAAGAAAGTGTAAGTGAAGGAGAATTCATAAGCAGTATAAGAGGAAACTGACTGCATATGCAATATAAGAGGGAAGAATCAAAGGCAGCTGGAGATTTGGAATGTAGTAAACTGAGATGAAAGGTTTTCAAGATGTTGGTGTATACTGTATGAGATTATGCTTGACACAAAGGAATTCACTCTTTTTAATTAATCTGTTATGGGTATTTACATTCTCTACTTATCTATGGGTAAACTGTATATGTTCAGACAAAAATGAAATTTGGACTGAGGGAGTTAACCATTATGTTCTCTTCTGTTAGAAGGAGTTCATCTGTGTTTTTTTTTAAAAATCATTAACAAAACAATTTTGAACTTTACTCTTAGTTGAAATGACAGTGTTTGGAGACTGAGCGACTATACTTACTGCTGAAAGGGTTGTTTTTGAAGAGCTTCCTAAGCATCAGCACTTGCATAGAGTTGTCCCAAGTGGTCTGGTAAATGAAGAGTGCCACTCAAGGGTCTATAACTCTCAGCATTTCTCTCCTCAAAGGAGTTAGGAATGGGAATGCTTTTGTTAAACTGTTGTAGTTTCAGATTAATGTTTTCAAGTGACAACATTTTCTGTGCCATTTCTATTAGATAAATAGAGTTAAGTTGCTTGCTAGTCAGCTTTAGATTTTGTTTTGGCCATGAGGAATTAAGATTTGACAGTGTTCTTTCTAGCCTGGTCCATTGGCTTTCTCTTTTAATACAGGTAGCTTGATCTGTTTAGACCTTAGTTGACTCTCTGAAAATCCATATTTTAATAGCTGTGATTTATCAGTCAAGGTTTATTCAAGTTACACAGTCAGCTAACAAGTTATAAGTGCAGCGCTTTTGTTTGGTTTTGGTTTTTTGAGACAGAGTCGTGCTGTGTAGTTCAGGCTGGCCTTGAAGTCACTATGTATTCCAGGCTGGCCTCAAACTCATGGCTGTAAGGAATGGCGTGAGTCAGAGACCAGCAGGGACCACCAGGTTTGCAGGCAACATGACGTGCAATTTATTGTGCCTGGGTGTAGGCAGACAGTGTGTGAAAAGGCTGTCTGGTAGAGGGTACAGAGAAAATCAGAGCCTTTTTTTTATAGGTCTTAGACAAAGGGGATCAAGTGGGTAGCTCAGGCAAGGTATCTGGTAAGGGGGTCAGGGTCTTAGGGTGAGATCTGAGCAAACACCCTTGGTCAAAGTTCTCCAGATGTGCGGTGGCTCAGTGGTCAAAGTCCTCAGGGCATTTGATGTAAGTATATGGATGTCCTCAGATGTCCTGGCACATGGCAGATTTCATGCCCCACTTTTGCTCTTTTTATGGCATCCTGTGTTTGCCAAGGGCAACAGCACTGGTGCTGAGCTGAGCTTTCTCTGAGAACAATGCCACCACTGACAAATAGGTTGGGAAAAGTCATGGGAAAGTCATGCCTGAGTGGAGCCTACATTGGCAATGCTCCTGCTTCAGCCTCCTGAGCATTGGGATTACAGGTGTGTGCCACCATGCCTAGCAAATGCCTAGACTATATGCTTCGAACTCTTAGCTGTGTTTTGCAAATGTGTTATGCCTTTCTCCTGTGTTCCATGTTCCCTCTGGGAAGAGTGAGGGTGTGAAAGTGTATCAGTTTCTTAGAGATGCTGTGCTGGGGGAAGAGCAAGAAGGAAGAAGTCCTCTGTCGAGTCTAGAGCAGGATCAGCTATCAGTCATGGATTGATGAAGAGCAATGAATCCTAAGATGGTCGCAGATACAGAAGTGTGGAAATGGAGCTGCGGCAGCAGTATTTTCTTTCTCTAGTGCTTCTCAGTCAAGCAGAGGCAAGCTGTTCTCGGACACAGGTGGGAGAGGAGGTAGACTGTGGTCGTGAAGCAGTCTACAGCCTCTGCCCGCAGTAGCACCTTGTCTTAGTGGATCCAGAGAAGGCACTTCTTAACTGAGCCAATCAAGGGGCTGCTGTCACAGCAGTTGCATCCTAAAAAGGGGAGACGAATGTTCCAGCTTAATGATACCTAATTTCAATAGCCTTTCTTTGACCTACTTTTTTTGTTTTTTAGAGACAGGACCTTGCTATGTAGTTCATGTTGCCCTTGAGCTCACTATGTAGGCTAAGCTGGCCTCAAACTCATGGTGATCCTCCTGCTTCAGCCTCCCAAGTGCTAGGATTACAGAACTGGTAGTAGTAACAACATAGGTCCCTAATCTGTGTATCTGTTTCTTTTTCTTTGCTTTTTTTTCTTTCTTTTCTTTTCTTTTCTTTTTTCTATTCTCTTCTCTTTTCCTTCCTTCCTTCCTTCCTTCCTTCCTTCCTTCCTTCCTTCCTTCCTTCCTTCCTTCCCTTCCTTCCTTCCTTTTCTTCCTTCCTTCCTTCTCTCTCTCTCTCTCTCTCTTTCTTTCTAGTACTGGAGAATGAACCTGGATCTTCACTGTGAGCTATACCTCTATGCCTTTTTTGTGTAATAGGATAGGGTCTTTCTAAGTCACTGCCCCGGCATGGCGGTACACGCCTGTAATCCCAGCCTTCGGGAGGCAGAGGCAGGAGGATTGCTGCAAGTTTGAGGCCAGCCTGGGCTACAAAGTGAACCATATAGTAAAACCTTGTTTTTTTGTTTTTTGTTTTTTGTTTAAAAAAGTCACTAAATTTCCCAGGCTGGGCTTGAATTTGAAATCCTGTTTTAGCTTCCCAAAGTGCTGGGACTATAGGTATACATCCATGTGTGTGTCTCTCCTTCCTCTCTCTTATTTTCTTTCTTTTTTTTTTGAGACAGGGTCTCGCTATGCAGTTCAGGCTGGTCTTGAGCTCACTTTGTAGCCCAGGCTAGTCTCAAGCTCATAACAATCCTCCTGCCTCAGCCTCCCAAGTGCTGGGATTATAGGCGTATACTACCATGCCTGGCTCTCTTATTTTCATTTTTAAAAATTTGTGTTTGAGACAAGGTCTCACTATGTAGTCCATGCTGGCCTTGAACTCACTGTGTAGCCCAGGCTGGTCTCAAATTCATGGTTTACCTTAGCCTCCCAAGTGTTGGTATTACAGGTGTGCGTTACCATGCCTGGCTCATGTAAAATTTTTATTAGTCCATTTTTATTAGTCCATAGTGATTCCAGTCCTCATGGAGAGTTGGCACGTGTATGTATCACAACTTAATTCTTTTTACTTCGCCTCACCCTCTCCTCCCTCGCTCCTCCCCTCATTGCTTCTCTTTTGGATTCACATGTAATTGTTGTGAGGTCTCTTCAACAGAGTCACTG